CAGCGAAGCGGGTGGGAAAAAAAAACCCTATAGATCTGAAACTCTCAAACCCGAAGACTGAAATCCCGAAACCCCGTCGGACCCAAACCCTAAACCTTTGCTACTTGGGGGCCTTTTCAGGATTGGGTCTTTGTGTTGCCGGGCTCAGAACCCTTCGAGCCCAAGACCTGCACCACTGCAATCCTACCAGCATAACCATGTCCAGGAACAAATAGCAAGAATACCTCATGATTTTCTTCAGCTTATGATCGGATGTCTCTAATTCCTGTATAACTCGATAAGTATGATCCCTAAACCCTAAACCCGAAATCCTCAACAAAAGGCGGACCTTTTTTGGATGTCGCAGGTGACGATGGACTTTGCGCTCCTGGGCCCAGAGGGCTCCCAGACACTGGACCCCGCAGATCCTTATTGTTTCGGGGTTTTGGGGTTTAGGGTTTAGGAGTTTTGGGGGGTGTAGGGTTTAGGGTTTAAAGGTTTGATTAGGGTTTCGGGGTTTTGGGGGGTTTAGGGTTTAGGGTTTATGGTTTGATTAGGGTTTCGGGGTTTGGAGGTTTAGGGTTTAGGGGTTTAGGGTTTAGGGGTTTTGAGGTTTAGGGTTTGGCTTGGTGTTTTTGAGCCGTTTTTGTTCAGGATGGTCTAGGCTGCTGTAGTGCTTTGAATAGCGGCGCAGGAGCTCCAGGCTTCGGAACCTAACGAAACGAACCCAGTAACTTCAGCAAGTTCAGTAAGTCAGTGTGAAGTGAGACGGGTAGTTCCGGGCAGAATATTCCGCACTCTTAATGTCCTGGGTCCTGGTTCGGTAGCTGCAGATGGGGTATGGGGATCCGGTTCGGGGGTTTTCAACTTGCAGAGTTCAGGGGCGAAGGGTTATCTGTCAGAAACCCTGAACCGTAAACCCGGCAGACGGAAGAAGGAGCTCAAAAAAAAAAACCCTAAACCTTAAACCTTAAGCCTTAAACCCTAAACTCAAATCACTGACCATTTGACTTCTTCAGGGCCCGGGCTTCAGCCTCAATTAGGGTTTAGGGTTTAGAATTTAAGGTATCTGAAGCCTTAGAACCCCAGAGCCCTGTCACGGTCCTCGTCTGCTTTGTCCGAGTACTGAGTACATATGCCAAAGAAAACAGAAAGCCCGGGAATGTAGACACCGCGGGTCTCGGAAATTAAACACACCAAAGCAAACACCTGGACTGCCCGCACCCGATATGATGTGGGGCCGATCCGGCATGTAGGCAGGTTGGTGCTTCGAGGGTGTAGAATAGGGTGTTGGGAGCAACTCCCTTCGGAACACGGAACTTCAAAACTCTATGCGCCAGAACTATCCCCCAAACTTGAATCCAGAACTCAGCCTCCAAGCTACCGGCTTGAACCCTTTTCCCAACCTCTGGCACAAAACTGCACAGCTGGAAATTTTACTTTGAGCTTCCAAGTGCAACTTGCACTTTAATAAACGCAACAAGCTTTGATCCTTGCGGAAGCACAGGCTGAACTCGAAAGCCCATTGAAACGTTGCACGCTGTACGACACAGCTCTAGATGATTGCATAGAGGTAAGGCGGCAGGCCTGTCCTGAGGACTAAACCCTCGATTGACCCTAATACGTCTGAATCCCAAAAGAATAGTTCTCTAAAGTAGGGTCCCCTTTTCGGTCCCCAATATAGTCAGAGAACTGCCCAAATAATTACCACTAAGTTCTTGCAGTTGACTTGACCTGAACCCTAGAGCCCCAATGAACTACATCCTAAACTCTAAGATTTCAACAGTCCCCCGACCCTAAACACTTAACAAGCTTGGCTCAAGTACTATAGGGGTCTTAATGATTACCTATATTATTTTGGGGGTTCCTTATTACAACTATAGTACAATATTAAAGCCCCTGCATGACATCCTGCATTCAAGCTGTTTGTCCCTTTTTCGGTTTGTTTCCGCGCCATGGAGCTTCCGGTATAGGTGCACCTCATCCTCTTGGAGGATGCCGACAACACGGTGCTCGATATGGAAGCGTCACCATCCGGCATAGCCCGCGATGAGCGCATCCGGGATTTGGAGGATCCTAAAGGCCTCTGGCTTTGTCGTGGCTGAGCGAAGTGTGGCAGCATGTGCAAAACATGGGACGGCGGTTGGTGATATGGTACTGTAATGGAGTCACTCCTCCGAGGCAGTGAGTTTTGTTGGCTTACAAGAAGCGCAGCTGCCACGCACGTCCCTTCAGTTTCGGAGTTCTATCGGAAACCTAGACGGCAAGCTGGTGCCTGTTCGACTTGGCAGGAGTCCAAGCGGAAGACCCCCGCCGCGAAGGCCTTGTCGTTTTGGTGGTTTCCTGTTCACAAGGGTGCTTCTGCCCACCCAACGCCCTATGCAATGATTCAACTTCGCTGCATGCCGAGGCTGAGACGCGGCGCATCCTTTACCTGAAGCGTCTCTCCGAGGGATCGACGTGGCTGTTCCACTGTCGCTGTCCGCTTGTGCTCGTGGCGTATGTCTCTCTCCGAGGTCATCTGGATGCCTTCTACTCCGAGAAGACCTGGGCACGGGCGCGCTTCGCCCGGAGCCGTGACGCCCAGGAAGCCCTAACGAATCGGAGCTCGGCACATGCAACCTGGAAGTGATGGTGACGCGTTTTCGCTGTAAGGGTGGTGCACTGCCAAGCTTGCAAATTTCGAGCTTGCCGCATGCTAGTTCCCGGTTGAGCACACTTCATGCAGCCTTGGGGTGAGCAGATGGATTTCGCAAATTCGACGCTGTTGCGATAGTCATCGTACACTTATACTGTCCCTGCGGCTCCTGCATGCGAGCGGCTTACTCCGGTACAGGTGTCACAGCGTGCCCCAGCAGGAAGTGAACTGCACTTCCGGACTTGCGGGGCGGCGACACCATCACTTCCTGCTGACATACACAATGACGTCCTGTTTGATTTTACACATGTTGACCTGGGATGTGGATGGTGCCAGTGCTTATGAAGCACTGCCATGGGATCCCCAAGCTGGAGTAGAGATCCACTGGGCTGGAGAAACGTACGTCCGCAGAGACATCGACTTTCGTTGCTCTCCAGTGTAGCAGCTTGCCCATTTCCAGAATGTAGCCAACAGTCCAAATGCCCCCTTCCGTGAGGAACCCTTTTTGTTAAATCCGGATGCGGGAGTGCTAGCTCCACTGGTCCACGCAATCTGCCCGCTCAAAGGTGTTCGTTGGCTTATTGTTTCGCTGGAACGAGATTCCAGCTGCTCTGCTGCATGTGTTGCTGACGAACCGCTGTGCTATGTGGACACACGAGCTCCCGAGCGCACGATTCATTCTTGGGCTTATCGTTTTCTTGTGTCCTCCCGCTGCCAGTGCAGCATGCCGTTGCAGCACAAAGCCACCGCATGCTGCCTCGATTGCCAGCGAGGGTTCTGTGATGTGGCTATTCCAACTGGGGCCTTTCATTTTGTAGCTCGGTTGCTGTACGACTACGCTGGGGTTTTTTTCAAGAGTACATTGCGTCCAAGTATGTGTTGTGCTGAGCTAACCGCCTCTGCCTGGTTCTGAAATGTTTTTGCATGTGAGGACTGCTTGGTGTGCATGCGTTCGGGGTGCTTTGCTGGGAATGAGCTTCGCGGGGCGCTTGCATGTTGTCGGCCTTTGCATGGTGGAAACTTGCAGCATGGACAGAACTGCATGACGGTATGGCGGTTTACTTCTCCTGGAATGGGTTTTGTGAACTGATTCTGCTTGGAGTTTCAGTGGTAGCCAGTGTGGCGAGTGCATGAAGTGCCATGTGAAGATGCCAACCATGTGAGAGGGGTAGTGGCCTGCTACGATGGACATAGTGTTTCGCAGGGCTTTGACCATGCATGCCATTTGTTCTGTCATGAGTCTGCCATTGAGGTAATGTTTGTGTTTGGGCACTGGTTGCTGGGCTGCGTTGTCCGAGTGTGAGTGCCAACCCCCCCTAAGCCCAGCACCCAAAAAAGCCTTAACTCAGCTCCCACTCAGTGCTTAAAATTGTCTCGACAGGAGACCTTGAACCGCATTGGCCAGGAGACCTGCTTTTGCCCGTCAACAGCTTAAGGGCGTTCAAAGAAGGGCTGTTTTCAGGGTGCTGCCCAGCTCCTTGTAAAGGTATTATGGGGACTTGTTCTTTTAAGCGTGCTACAAGGATATTGTAAGGACACAGCAGAATGGTGCTTAATGAGTTCCGGGTATTAAGGGCCTTGGGTGAGGCCCAGTTGGTAGGGGGTTTCTAAAACATATGTGCTTATAGGGTTGTTTGGCTTTGCCGGTCAAATCTTTCATTCTCAAGTTTATGTTTTCCGGGCGCTGCAACCGCAGGGCTTGGTCGTGTAATTGTAATTTCGGTGAGTTCGGGTTTAGTTTTGGGATTTCGTGGTCAAGTCAATGAAGGCCATCAAATGACGAGGGCCGCGATCACTCCCAAAGTTTCCCGTCCCTTCTGTTTTGGCCGCTCTTCCAGGATTTCTCCAAGGGAATCATGGGCCCCACCACCGTCATGTTCGTAGCACGAGGGGTCGACTCCCTCCAAGCCACTTGGCGTAGAAGAATACGGCTACCGGGAGAATCGCTTGAGGAGAATGACGGATAATGATAAGGGAGACTCTAAATCTGCAGTCCAAAACCCAGAACCCTGAACACCAAAACAAAATAGAGGTGCTCGAACCTGAAAATTTTTGAGCCAGCATCACGGTGGCGAGGGATCACTCGAAGCCCCGAAGTTGCTCTGCACTACAGAGCCTTGGAGCAGCTGCAACATAGGTGCCGGACAGTTAGTGAAAATGGACTTCTTTGGGGTTTATTTGAGGGTCCATAAGCCGCAAGAAATGTTGCTGCGAGCCGAAAGCGCGAAATTTCACTTGTTCCCTTAGCCGGTAAGTAGGTCTTGGAGCGCAACAATATTTGCAGCATGAGGCTACTGCGACATGGGTAGTATAGAGTTTTAACAGAGCTTGAGGCAGTACGGAATACGATCAGTTTGGGATGATCGGGCTCATATGTTTAAACCCACACCTCAAATTCCGAATCTCTTGAAATCAACCCCAATCCAGAAACCCTTCAACACCGTGATGCCCGTAAACCTGCCCGCCGCCCGTTTCCAGGCTGAAAGGGGCGCGATTTACATGCCGGAGGTGTGGAAGAGCATGCCCCTGGGTTCACAGTGAAGAGGTTTTTGCGGTGTTTGACACATGTTTTTGGCTAGGGCCTACGGCTAGGGTACCCAGTGTTCGTTGTGGAGGTAAAGCTTGGTGTGTTTGGCGGCTTTCTGCTTGCAGTAGGTGCGCTTGGGCTCAATACGGCAGGGTTGAGTGGATTGCGGTCCTTGGGGGTCTACGCTTCAGTGATTTCAGATCTTCGGGTTTTCAGGTGTAGTGTAGACCCCGATTATAGAAAACGCTAGAATCGCTAGCATCATCCTTCTTTCGAGGGAGGAAGATTTATGAATCAGGGGTCGCCGTTGCTGCCCAGCTTCTACTGTGATACAGTGATACATACTGCTGGAAGTCCGACGCCTCAAAAAGCGATTGGTTCCCTGAGGTTCAACAAGGAGGGCGAACATCTAGGAACCGGAATCAGTACTACTACTCACCCTTCTATAGTCCCTAACACGAGTGAAATAGAATACACCAAGACCCTGGCCTAATTATTAAGGCACCCATCTTAGGCCAAGGAAGATTGAAGACCCCGGTGCAACTTCACAGGTTTGTTGTTGATTTTAGGGCTTACCACAGCGTTGCACAGGGCCATGTACTTATATTACGGCCCAAGGAATTTCATGCTCAAGTTCATCGAGAAAGAGTTGCTTGACGGAGGCGGCAAGCTCAGAGACATCCATGTGTTCTCAAAATCGACCAAACCTCAAAACCTAAAGCTGCGGGAAAAGAGGGGTCAAAAACAACTAAACCTTTCATGCGCTGGGGCGGGGCCGGTGGCAAGGGCCGAGGCCAACCCTTCAAGGGATGAGGCACTTCCTTGTGTTACTTAGTTTTTATTGCTACATATTCGTATTTCTACGTTCATGTCCCCTAAACCCTAAACCGTTGAACTTACAGCGCGGCTCTTTCTGGCGTTGAGGACGGCTTGGCTCCATTGCTTCGCCTGTGTACCTCAGCAGCCGGATTCTCAGACAGATGAACTCTGAACTCTAAGATTTCATGTGTTTGTTTTGCTTTATGTGGTTAAAACCGCTTATGGTGATCTCCGATCAAGCGCACCTCCAACCTCCAATTGACATAAAGGCGCTTGCTGTAGGGCTTCCCTCCCCCAGGATACACATCCTGATATAGGGTTTGCATGGAGAACACAAAGTAGATAAACTTAGTGACGTAGTGCAGCTTTAGGGAAGAGTTGGGGATGTAGGCTCTTTGTAGGACTAGTGGTTATCAGGATCTAGTAAGACGGAGAACTAATATCTTGCAACCATGGCCCAAGCTGTTTTCCACGCGGTTGGAAAGTGGTCCACGTACATGCTTGCAATGCATGCAAACACGCGTACGTACTCGCATACCTACCTCTCTCGCTCGCTCTCTCTCTCTCTCCCTCCTCTAGACATAGTTATACAAATTTATCCGATCATATAACCCTAGCACGTTTGGAACGCGGGAGCCCCACGCCCCAAGTTAAGGTTTGGGCTGGGTTTTAATTTTTATGCTCCAGCTTTTTTCTTTGCTGGCCACCTCCATGTCTCCGATGACCCCCATGCCTCCATCCCGTCGCCGACAAGCATAAGGGGAGAAACCCATAGTATAACAAACAAAACATGCTCTTAATGCTTTTAGGGACCCGTGCACCCTCAGCAATGAGTCCTTGACATTTCAATGATACCAAGGTCTCAAGGGCTCGAGGTCATAAAAAACTTGAATGCTTAATTAGATCTTCATAGACGGCAGTGAGAACTCTCAAGCCCAAAGCCATAGAATTTAAGGCCCCGCTCCAAGTCGAAAATCCGGTATGTAGGGCTTAGCATTTTAGGAGTTCTCAAATGACGCCCTTGAGCTTGAAGGTCATGCCCATTCACCCATCGAAGTGCCGGCGAATTCCGCCAAAAGTGCGGACGAGACGCAGGTCAGTCTGACCACGATGGTCCAGGTCCAGGCCACATGGTTTGCGGTTGAGGGGTCTTCGGTTTGCCAGTTTTCGTCTGGTGATTTGCCGTAGCATCATGAGCATGTTGCTGACAGTGTTGTTGATGATGGGACACTGAAGGTGGCAAAGTTGACATGGTACTTTGTTGAACGATTTTCCTCACGCTGTGCAAAACAAACTCGGGCTTTGTCGCGATTCAGCGGAACGAGCACGGGACAAACTTCCGCATGATAAACCCTAACGGCCCTAATGCGACCCGACAGCCAGAGCCTCAGCCCAAAACCATGATATTTTGTCGCCTAAACCGTTCAACCCTATCACCCCGAGTCACAGTGTTTTTTCTACCCACCGCCAGAACCCTCCGGGAGACTTTGTAAGTCTTGAACCCTCACCAGACCCTAAACGCTAAACCCTACAAAGCACTTCCCAGCCCCCCCCTCCAGGAGCTGAAATATATCCTCGACCAGATGCTGAATGCCGAAAGTGCTTTGGGCTCATTTTAAGGGGGACCCTAACATTCAGGGTTTTGGGTTTGGGGTTCAAGGCGACCCTATTTTATAGTCAAGTACCTTTTACGGGTGCTATGTATGGGTCTTAGGGTATTGGGTTTGGTGGGTTGACTTGAGACGGCCTCAAGACTATGAAACCTTGACCCCTATCCACCGAAAAAAAACAGTGCAAAGAGCTTTAAGCTTTGATAATCCCGATTCCCCCCCAAAAAAACAGACACAGTCTCTCAGATGATTTGTTATTTTGAGTGGTCCTTAAAGCGTTTATAAAGCTCGGAAAATTTTGCTGAATTGGCTTCCTCTAAGGCTCCGCACCATGTAGGGCCCTGCATGCGTTACAAGCGATAAGGTGTAGGCTTTCGGACTTACGGATCAGGTTTGTTAAGGCTGTTTTAAGGTTTGTCTTGATTTTCCAACACTGTGGTATTCACTGCTCGATTTTCAGGCTACTTTCTAGAAGGCTGCCAGGAGCATCAAGATGCTGCTATAAATGCCCTACTACTTCTCTCTGTCCCACGTCTACACTTGCCAATTTCTGGGCCTTGAAAGGCCTCAACTTGACATCCCAGCACGAGAACCGCAACTCCTTTTCACGCCCTGCAGAGCATCAAAGTACGTGATACAGTAAAGTATATTATAGTTTAGTAACATAGTATAGTATATTACAGTATCAAGGGCATCAAGGCTTTCGTGCAAGCCCTGAGCTTTCGAAGAACCCCCTGCGGGCCCCGAAACCACGCAGATCCTAAGAGACCCTCAAAAAGGCACAGCGAAAGACCATGCAGGAGAGAGATGCACGCCACACCAGAAAGCCAAATGGCCAAAGACCCCCAAAACTGCAAACCTACCCTAATTACATCCGATGACCCGCAGACCAGGAACCGCATCCTTAGCCATGATCACGCCGGACTTGAGTGCTTTGGCTTACAGCGGAATTTAACTTTGGCGAAAAAAGAGTCTGGAGTGTTTTGCGCATTGTTTTTGTGTTGGCGATGGTGAGGCTTGTAGAAGACCGAAGGGGGTGGATTTAGGGCTGCAGAGTGCAGGGTTGTAGGTTCTACCTGAAACTGAAAGAACGTGAAATTGTAGGGCTCTTTTGTTAAGAATTCTTCGTGTATAACTGTATAACTATTTTCCAGCTCCGATGCGAGGGAAGACAGTACGTTTAATCAACGCGGAAGGTTAGTGTTTGTACTCGGTACCCAGGATACCGCGGAGAGGTCGTTGTGTTTCAATCGTTCAGTTTGGGGTGGAAGAATTTGTGTCGGCTGCACCGTTCAGCCCTACCCTATACTCCCTTTTTGGGATCCTGTCTACATCAGGCTCTACAGAGGCATTGCAAGTCTTCCTGTGAAGGTCTCGTGCTTGGTCTTCATAAACGGGTAATCCATATCACCGCATGCTCAGACTGACACTTCGGGTTTCGTCGGGGGCTTCATTCAGCCACCAAACCCATGTGTCCCATGATGTTCCAGGAATGACATCCCCAGAAGCCATCGATTGGACAAGGCCGCTTTGGCCCAGCAAGACTGTGGTCCGGTTGAGGGTTTAGAGTGTTAGTTAGCCGCTCTTGCTGCTGCTGCTGCCGGTTGAGGGTTTAGAGTGTTATCTAGCCGTTCTTGCTGCTGCAGCTGCGGTTGCCGTTGCCGTCGTCGTCGTCGTCGTCGTGGTTGTGGTGGTGGTTGTTGTTGGTGGTGGTGGTGGCGGTGGCGGCGGTGGTGATGGCGGCGGTGGTGATGCCGGCGGCGGCGGTGGGGGTGGCGGCGGTGGCGGCAGTGGTGGTTGTTGCGGTGCTGGTGGACATAGCAGCAGCAGTGCAATGAAACAGCGAACGAGCATGTGCCCTCGATTTCCTGGACTTGTTGAGTCGTTGACTGCAGACCAGCACTCTCAAGTTTAGAAGCAGTCAGAAGGCAAGACCACTCGATCGCCTTTCCGTTCAGGGTAATCTGCACGCCCTCAGCTCGGCGCGAGCATTGGCAGTCTTGGCAGTGCTGTTTGCCTGAGGCAGCTTCGCGACATCATCCGCGTTCAGTATCCCCGGCAGCAAGGAGTCGGGCAGTGTCCGTTTTAGGTTTGAGGGGTTTAGGGTTTGGGGCTTTGGGGCTTCAGGGTTCAGGGCGTAGGGTTTAGGGTTTCAGGGTTTGGGGTTCATGAACTCTGGAGCCTCGTTGCCTTTTCATGGAATGGCATTGCATGCCTGGCGCCGAGGAATGCGAATGCCCAGTCGCCTGTGGATGTATACATGGTCTCACAGACCGCAGCCATGATGGATGTTGAGGAAGGCCAGAGTTGAGATTTAGTTAGGGTTTATAGGGCCTTTAGGGTTCCCTTTTAGGGTTTATGGGACCTTTAGGGTTCCCTTTCAGGGCTCAGGGCCTTTAGGGTTCCCTTGTCTTGTGATCAGGCTGAGCAACTTGTCGTGAAGCCAGGTGTCTTCGGCCGCGTGCCGAATCTCGTCCTCTTCAGCCTCATTGGCTGCCTCTTGATGATGGGCTTCCTCTTCCGCTCAGCCGCTCCGCTGCCCCCAGCATGCCGATGTCACTAACTTGAACCCTATAAATACCCTAAACCCTTGCAGCCCCGTGGCCCCAAAATTCTCAGCCACTTCATTCAAAGGCCCCCAAGCTCCGAAGCCCTCTCAGAAAGGGCGCCTGAAGAATCAGAATCGTGTCCTTCGGGGTACATTCAAGTTTATAACTATATAACAAGGAGCCCCAGCATCACTATGGGTAGCTATGGAGGCCTCTATATCAGACCCCTTGTCCTTGACCCTTCGAAGACAAGGTCATGATCGCAGTCAGAGGACT